TTGAGGGACTTAACCTTTAATGTCGGCAATGGTCCATCCTATGGCTGCTTTGTGAGAGCACAACACTGCTACCAAAGCTTCCTCTTCTCATTTGAATAATTTACTTGAGATGATCACTGGCAAAGTTTCATTTTCGCCCAAAAAGACATATTTCAAATGCTCCGGTAATTGCTTCAATTCTACCTCACGTGCCTGCAAAACAGATGGTAAAATTTTAATTTTAGAGGAAGATAATGATAAATCATAATTGATTGAATTAATATTTTCAAACTCCCTTTCTTCCTCTTCGTGACAAAGTTCAAGATCCTTAAAAATATCATAAAAAAAATTAGATTCAATATATTCATCAATTAAAGGATCTATAATATCAACACAATTAATTCTTTCAACATGATCAGGGCATTTCATTGCTTTGTAAACATCAAATTCAATAATCTCACCATCAAATTCCATTGCCAGTATACCACTTCTAACATCCTTTGTATGTGCGGTGCTTAGGAAGGGTCGGCCTAAAAGTACCTCGGAATAAGTATCCGACCTGTCATGTTCCATGTCAATGACACATAAATCTAAAGGAAAAAATAATACTTCGACCTTTACTAAGACATTTTCCATTACTCCTACTTAATAGATCACAGATCGATCAACCAACTGTTGGTTATTCCTGTTTCCTTCAAAGGCTCGTTAGTAATCATTTTATAAATAGAAAATGACATAACATTGATTGAAGCTCCTAAGTCACACAATGCACGTTTAATTTTAAAATACCCAATTTGCAAGGTATAGCGAACATACCTTAATCCTTCATCTTTGCTGGGAGCTTTCATTGAAAAATTACAGAGACATGTTCTCCCAAATTTACCTTTTCGCGCCCCCATTAATTTCCTCTTTGTAGTGCAAAGTTCTTTTAAAAATTGAGCATACCTTGGTACTTTGCGAATTACTTCAAGAAGAGATATGCTAACTTGAACATTTTGGAACACCTCTAAGATCTCCCTTTCTTCAGCTCTTTTATCATGCTTCATCAACCTTGATGGGAAGGGTGGTGGCGTGATTTCATGAAAAGAAAGAGAAGGATGTGAGTCAGACGTACCTTGTATTTCTGGAGGTGGTGTGTCCTATTGTTCTTTCTGATGTACGGCTTTTTCTGCTGGAACTTCGGGTGAGATAACTTTTCCACTTCGGAGTGTGATGGCACTAACATTCTCTCTCAAATTTAACACCGTTTGAGAAGGTAATCTTCCTTGTGATTCCAATTTTCCCATAGTTTGAGCTAGCCGACTCACTTGGTTATCTAACTCTTGAAGATGTGTTTCGGTTCGTCTTTGAAATTTTTCTTGGGATGCAATGAACTTTTCTTGTGAGATTGCTAACTTTCCTATGAGTTCCTCCAATGGTGATTTTTGCGTTTGATGTTGAGGCGGAGGTCTTGGTTGATAAGTTGGTCTTTGATTTGCCGCATAGCTGAAGTTTGGTTGATAAGAATGCTCATCCGTAACTCGCTTGATTTAGCCGCTGGAAAAAACCTTTCAAGAAAAATTTGATTCATGTTAGTCCATAAATTAACTGAATTTGGAGGTAAATAAAATAACCAATCTTTAGCCAAGTCTGCTAAAGAGAAATGGAAAACTCTCAATTTAATTTGATCATCGGTAAATCCATGTGGTTTCATGCTAGTGCAAACCATGTGGAATTCCAACAAGTGTTTGTACTAATCTTCAGTGGGAAAGCCATGGAAAGTGGGAAGAAGATGAATGAGTCATGTCTTTAATTGAAACAGAGTCCCGCCGCTAGGAAAATTAATGCATAATAACATATGAGTGACAGGAGCTGTGGCTAGCTCTTGGATCGTTTGTTCTTCTTTTGTCATCGGGATGTTGTATGCGTCTGCTTCAAAGTCTGTCTCTGGAATTGATTTTGCTTCTGAATTATGTTCTTGTTTTTCTTGTCCTTTTCTCTTTTCTCGAAGCGTTTGTACATGGATTCTTCGTGCTCGTGCTTCAATCTCCGGATCTAGATCTACTAATTCACCTGGGATTCTTCTGGTCATAAATCAAAAACTAGAAAAATAAATCAGTACTTGCCGTTAGTCCCCGACAACAGTGCCAATTTGATAACCGTCATTTTATTATCAAAATAATTCCAACTTTTTAATTAAATAGAAAGGAAAATGTAATATAGAGAAGCTGGGTCGATCCATAGGGACTATGATTTTTGTGATTTAGTAAAACTGTTTCTTGATTTTAGAAAAAAATAGAATTCCAAGTAAAGTTGAAAAGGTATAATAAAATAAATAATTATAAAAAAAGGAAAAATAATAAAATAATGAATATTAATAGTAATAAATATAAAAGGGAGATTTTTAAAAGTTATTTTTAAAATAAAATATAAGAATTAAATAAAAGAAAATAATTAAATAAACAAATTAAAGAGATTGAGATAAAGAAAAACTTATTGTGAAAGCAACCTCAAACTTCAGCTTTGTCTCAAATTCCTCAGATCATCGAAACATATTTTTACTTCAAGATTCACGTCGTCTTACAAGGACAATTCTTTGTTGCCAACTCGGATTATGTCGTTTCAACAATAGCTGATTATGATCTCAGTTTCCTCTTAGCAAACAATTTTGCTAAGTGTGTTCTCGGGAAGTTGAATATGCTTTAATAAGAAAATCATTCTTCAAACGTTAACCATAACAATATCCGGACCAATGTCGAAATCGTTTTGATTTGAAAAGTAAGCTCAGGAAATAGAGAGAAAAATCCGAAGCGATTTAAGTACCTTACAATTCTCACGTTTGGAATTGAGCCTTCGCTTTAGTCTTCGGCTTGAAAGAAAATTAGCTAAGCATGACCAAAGTCATACTTAGCAATTATTGAAAACGAAATTTAAAGAAAAAAAAAGGAGTATGCGAAAAATAGAAAGAAAAAGAAGATTTTATTCTCAGATGAGAGAGATATGTCTCTAGGCTCACCCTTAGAGGGTATTTATAGCCTTCAAATTCCTAAAAACAAGCTAAAACATCTTAAATCCTAATTAAAACACTTAAAACTATTTAAACTAAAGTACCTAAAACAAAGATAAAATATAAAAATAATATCCTAAAACTTAATTAAAATACTAAAACCTATTTAAACTAAAATACCTAAAATAAAGATAAAATATAAAAATAATATCCTAAAACTTAATTAAAATACTAAAACCTATTTAAACTAAAATATAAAGATAAAATATAATGTTTAAAATATTACCCTAAACTTAAGTTTAATTCAAATCCGAATTCTAGAAACGTGCTGCCAATCCATTGGTGATTCTAGAAATGCTGACTGGATCTTCTAGAAGGTGTTGACGTCATCGCCTCGTCGGATGTTTCATGTCCGAATTCATGCCCACTAATCCATCTTCGATTCCGAAAATAAAAAAATGTAGAATTCCGTCCTTTTAGTGCAATTTCTAGAATCTAACATCATGCACAGAAAATGAATGAAAACGAATAATTAAGCCACAAAAACCAATGATTAAGGAGTAATTTAAAAGCAAAATATTAACTAAATTAAGCACTTATTAAAGTATTTGCTCCCATTATTAGTTTTGAGAATTTTGATATTACTTTTAAACTGACTCTCAATTATTTGAGAAAATTGTATAAAAAATTCACCTGTCTTAGACTTGTCTTTCATGAGATATGTCCAAAAGGTTATGAAGCAATCATCTATGAAGAAAACAAACAGTTGAAATTCATCAACATGTTTTATCTTGGAAAGGCCCTAAATGTCACTGTGGTTTATTGAAAAGGAATGAAAGGCTCATATTGAGACGGTGAGTATGAAGTTCTAGTATGTTTTGTTAATTGACAAATGTCACAAGTAAATGATCTAGGATTCTCATTAAGAAATAAATGGGAAACAATCTCTCAAGATAAATGAAATTTATGTTTCCAACCTAAAATGCCATAACATTGCCTCATTGGGTGTAAAATTGAAAATAGAAAGGGGTTGGGAAACACAACTTGATTGAACTTGTCTTTTAGGAGGTATTGGGCCTTGAAGTAGATAGAGTTCATCACACAACCTAAAACTGCCGATCACCTTTTCCAAATCTAGCGCATGAAATTCACAAAAATTCAAATGAAATTTAGTAGAACATCTTAAATTACTGGATAGTTTACTAATAGACACAAGGTTGTATGCCAAATTAGGAACATAGAGGACAATGTTTAAAGTAATATCCGTATTAATTAGTAACCATCGGCCGTTCGCACGTGGGACTTTTGATGAAGCTTTCGTGAAACTTTGAAATAGACTTATATCACTTGTCATATGGTCAGAAGCCCCAAAATCAACTATCCAAGTGATGAAATTGCTGTTACCAGAACTATTTGCAAAAGAAAGACGACTTTCATTTGCTACAAAGGCCATTGTTTGATTAGTGGTCGTTGTCATCTGCCCAAACAACTGTTTTAATAATTCAAGCTGCTCTTCGCTGAAAGTTTTGTTGCCGCTGCTCCCCATGTTTGCCAAATTTTGCTTCTCTCTTTCTGTTGCCTGAACTTAGGAGATCTCCAGTCTACTAGTTTGCCATGCAATTTCCATCAATGGTCTTTAAGATACCTTCCGGTAGTATTCACGCCAGCATGTATTCATTTTCTAGGTTTTTGTCGATTGAAAAAACCTAGGCATCTAATACAATGTAGAATTTAGGTAAAGAGAATTGATTTTTATTCTCTTAATTTTATGACTATAAATCGTACAGAAAGCTGCCTATCCATATGCCAGGTACATAGAGGTTTACTAGGACTAAAACATATCCTTTACTTTAGATAAAATAAGCCTATCTATATTTTCGATGAGATAAGACTTAGATTCCATCTAAATGCTGACTCTTAAATATAATAATTAACAGTAAATACAATATTAATAGTAGATATTTACATGATTCCATTTCCAATCTACAATGTTCTTATTCGTACACATTGCTAATGAAGATAGATTGTTGTACATGTTTGACTAATGACATTTTCTTGTTTGCAGGATGAAAGCTGTATCACGTTGCGTGACCTAAAAGGTTCTAAACTTTCGGGAAGTGTTTTCAATATCCTTTTCAATCTCAACAAGTTCATGGCCTTTGAATCTCGCGATCCGTTCCTCATTCGTCAGGTAAATGTGACACTTGAGCTCTCACTAACTTATCAATATTGCCTTCAAAAAGGACTTGTATTTGTATACCATTACATGTTTTCACAAGCTTCGGATAACAGACTTGTTTATGATGGAATTGTTGACGAAAACGGGTAAAGAAAACGAAAGAACACGAGAATTTTACGAGGTTCGGCAATGTGCTTACGTCCTCGGTGCCTAGGCGTCGCTAGAAGTTTTATTCAATGATCTTTTTAGGTCTAGGTTACATCTCTATTTATAATAGAAAACCCTGGTACATAATTACAAAATCAACCCTGTACCGTACCGCGGGGGCTGCGCCCCCACACCCCCAACCCACATAATTCGTAACCCCACAACGAGACTTTTTATGAGCCATACATAACAAATCTCCACCTTGGCGAATATCCTGCCCCTTGGAAACTTCAATGTGGGTTGGGTTACCTTGCTTCTTTAACAACTCGAAACATTCAACAAGTCCAAGCAATGCTTGAACTTGTCTGTCGTAACTGGCTTGGTGAACATATCAGCGGCATTCTCATCAGTATGTACCTTCTGAAACAAAACCTCTCCAGATGCAACCAACTCTCTGATCTTGTGGAACCTTACATCAATATGTTTAGTTCTAGCACGATACACCTGATTCTTAGCCAAGTGAATAGCACTTTGATTATCACAAAGCAACTGAACTCCACCTTGTTGAACACCCAACTCCTTCACTAAACCAGTAAGCCATAAAGCTTCTTTTGCAGCTTCAGCCGCTGCCATGTATTCAGCTTAAGTTGTAGATAGTGCCACGACAGATTGAACAGTAGACTTCCAGCAAATAGGCCTCCACCAAGAGTAAACACATACCCTGTCGTAGATCTTCTATTATCCAAGTCACCTGCATAATCTGAATCCACATATCCTACAACCAAAGGGTTATCCCGCTGACTCCCAAAAACAATTCCATGTCCCACAGTACCCTTTAAGTACCGAAAGATCCACTTGACTGCTTCCCAATGTTGCTTACCAGGTTTAGACATGTACTTACAAACTTGACTAACAGCATGAGCTAAATCAGGACGAGTACATACCATCGCATACATCAAGCAGCCAACAGCATTAGAATACGGAACCTTTGCCATATCTTCAGCTTCCTTATCTGTCTTGGGGCACTGTTCTGATGAGAGCTTAAAGTGATTCGCCAATGGAGTGCTAACTGGTTTTGCGCTGCTCATCGCAAACCTTTCTAGCATTTTCTCAACATAACCCCGTTGAGATAGCCGCAGTTTCCTTGAGTCTCTGTCCCTGCAAATTTCCATTCCAAGAATTTTCTTTGCAGCACCTAAATCTTTCATATCAAATTCCTGACTCAATAAAGTTTTCAAACCGATAACATCATCCATGTTCTTCGCAGCAATCAACATATCATCAACATACAGTAATAGAAAAATAAAAGAACCATCATCAAGGCTCTTAACATAGACACAACAATCATACTCACATCGGTTGTAGCCAATCTTGATCATATAGGAGTCAAACCGTTTATACCACTGTCTCGGAGACTGTTTTAACCCGTACAAAGATTTCTTCAATCTGCAAACTAAATGTTCGTTTCCAGGTTGAGTGAAACCTTCAGGTTGCCGCATGTAGATCTGCTCCTCTAAATCACCATGCAAAAAGCAGTTTTAACATCCATCTGCTCTAAATACAAATCCCAACTAGCCACCAATGCAAGTACTGCTCGGATTGAAGTGTGCCTGACCACAGGAGAAAAGATTTCATCATAATCAACTCCTTTCTGCTGTGAAAAACCCTTCGCTACCAAACGAGCCTTGAACTTCTCCCCCTCTTTTTCTGTTACTGCTGGTTTCTTCTTATACACCCATTTGCAACCAATCGGCTTCTTACCCTCAGGAAGCGGAACTAACTCCCATGTGCGATTGTGATTCAAAGACTCCATCTCCTCAACCATGGCTGCCATCCACTTGTCGTTTTCCTGACTAGTAACGGCATCATGAAAAGTAACTGGATCATCACTGCTAACAGTAAGTGCAAAAGATACCAAGTCTTCAAAACCCAATCTGTTCGGAGGCTTTATATTCGTCCGTCTCACCCTGTCTCTGGCGAGACTATAATCCTGCAAATCATCCGTAGTGGAACCACCAGAAGTCGGTTGAGAAGTTTCTGGTTTCTCAACTGGAAACTGCTCGAAATCTACCACTGTCGTGTCTTGCTTCTGCTGCAACATAGACTGTTCATCAAAAATGACATCTCTACTAATCACAACTTTCTTCGCAACTGGATCCCAGAACTTGAATCCTTTGACACCTTTATTGTAACCCAGAAAAATACACTCCTTCGATTTTGCATCAAGTTTGGATCTCTCATCAGCAGGTACATGCACATAAGCAGGACAACCAAAAATCCGTAAGTTATCAAAACTAACATCATGACCAGTCCATACCTCTTCTGCAACTTTCCCAGCCAGCGATGCCCTTGGCGATCTGTTGATAAGGTAACACGCCATGTTAACAGCCTCAGCCCAGAAGTGTTTGGGAAGCCCCGCATTCAACCGCAAACATCTGGCTCTTTCATTCAACGACCTGTTCATTCGTTCCGCAACACCATTCTGTTGTGGTGTCTTGCGCACTGTAAAATGCCTCTGAATCCCATGCTCCTTACAGAATTGTAGGAACTGTGAATCTGTGTACTCCGTACCATTGTCAGACCGCAAACACTTGATTTTTCGTCCTGTTTGGTTTTCTACCTCAGCTTTCCACAGCTTGAACTTCTCAAAAACTTCAGATTTCTGTTTCAAAAAATACACCCAAACTTTCCGTGAAAAATCATCAATAAAAGTAACATAGTACCTAGATCCACCCAAAGACGATGTCGTGGAAGGCCCCCATACATCAGAATGCACATAATCAAGAATCCCTTGAGTTGTGTGCTTCGCAGTCTTGAAACGGACTTTAGTCTGTTTACCAAGAACACAATACTTGCAAAAGTCGAGCTTACAGCTTTTGACACCATGCAACAAGTTTCTCTTGTGTAATTCTGCCATACCACGTTCACTAAGATGAGCAAGGCGCATATGCCACAATTTTGTCGTATCATCACAGGACTCAACAGAGTGAACTCCACCTGCAACGGTACTCCCTAACAATCTGTAGATATTCCCTGCAGTCATCTTGCCTTTCATCACAGTCAATGCTCCTTTAACAATCCGAATGGTTTCCCTATCCTCGTCAGCCTTAGGGATAAAACCATTCTTGTGCAAAGTGCCCAAGGAAATCAAATTCTTCTTCAAGTCTGGGATATGTCGAACACCACTCAACGTCCGAACGGAGCCATCGTGCATCTTAATTCTGACATCACCAATACCAACAATATTGCAACATCGATCATCACCCAAATAAACCGAACCAGAATTAACCGGCCTGTATGTCGAAAACCATTCCCTATTTGGCGTGATGTGATAAGAACATCCAGAATCAAGAATCCAAGCATCCGTCAATTGTGTCGTTGAAATAGAAAGCATATCACCCTCACTGCAATCAGAAGTATCATCCTCGACCACGTTCATAGACTTGGATGAGCCATCACGCTTCTCATCGGTCTGCTTTTTCAACTTCGGACAGTCTCGCTTCATATGTCCCGCCTCCTTGCACTTGTAACAGTGAATCGTCTTCTTATCCCTGGATTTGGATCTGGAATTCCGCTTCCCGGACCCTGCCTTCTCTGGCTTCCGTCCACGATCTCGATTACCCTTGACATATAAGCTATCGACTTGAGAGCTTTCCCCTGCATTCTGCTTCCGCTGGTTGTGAGCCAACAAGGCTGCAGTAATCTCCTCAACATTGATAGTCTCTTTCCCATATGTAAGAGTAGTCACCATGTGTTCGTAAGAGGAAGGCAACGAACACAACAGAATCATCGCTCTGTCTTCATCCTCAATTTTCACATCAAGCCGAGCCAGATCAGAAACGATTTGATTGAAGACATTCACGTGTTGCGCCAAATCGTGATCGTCCTGCATCTTCAGCCCATACAACCGCTGCTTCAGATACAGTTTTGTCGTTAAGGATTTGGACATAAACTGACTTTCCAACTTCCTCCAAATTTCGTCTGGAGACGATAGATGCATGACGTGATACATGACCTCGTCCGCCAAGCATAATCGTATGGTTCCTGCCGCTCGCTGCTGCAATTCTTCCCAATCTTCCTCATCCATCGACGCCGGCTTTGTAGGTCGCAAAGCCTTCAAGATCCCTTGCTGCGCCAATAGATCCTTCACCCTCGTTTGCCATAATCCGAAGTTACCCTGACCATCGAATTTCGCGACTTCGAATTTTGCTCCTGACATCTGATACCAATTGTTGACGAAAACGGGTAAAGAAAATGAAAGAACACGAGAATTTTACGAGGTTCGGCAATGTGCTTACGTCCTCGGTGCCTAGGCGGCGCTAGAAGTTTTATTCAATGATCTTTTTAGGTCTAGGTTACATCTCTATTTATAATAGAAAACCCTGGTACATAATTACAAAATCAACCCTGTACCGTACCGCGGGGGCTGCGCCCCCACACCCCCAACCCACATAATTCGTAACCCCACAACGAGACTTTTTATGAGCCATACATAACAGGAATGAACAGGAACGCGAGAATCCTAAATTGACGGAGTGGGACCGTTTTGCACATAGAGAATACATTCGGCTTTCAATGGAAGAAGATGTGGAAGATGCCTCGAACGGAAGTGCAGAAGTTTGGGATGAGTCACTTGAGGCTCCCTTCTAAGTTTGAAGGGTATGTATGGATTGCATGCGTATCTTTGATCGGGTGTTAATGTGAGTATGCTAAATTCTTTTCAAAATTTTCAAGTATTGGAGAGTTGTTAAAGAGAATCAGATCCTAGATTTATATCCAGATATGTGTCAGCTACGGATGTTGGGAACAGGTACTCAGAGAAAAGTAAAACGTTGGAGCAACATAGTTGCATTCTTGCTATTTTAAAATGCTCAAGATCAAAGAACAAAGCTAAAATAACAGCAGACTATTATAACCAAGCAACCTGAAAATTCATGCAAACTCAACAAAAAAAAATGTACGTTATTGATCCCATCAATTGAAATCAGTAGTAAAAGGGAATTTTGTTCTACCTAGATGTCTTGTTGTCAATTGATTAAGAAAGTTCTAATCCCTACTTAGACCTATTAAAAAGTATGTAGGACTAAATACCTATTTAGACCTTCAAATTTTAATATATTTTGATTTTAACCCCTATTTTTTTTATTGTTATCTATATTTTTTTTTGAAATAGGGTACTTTGTATTAAAGATAAAACAAAGTACACCACCTCAAGGACCTCATTAAAAACCCCCTCAAACCCTAAATGGAGGAAAAATAGTGTACCTTGAGGTGGTGAGGAACTAATACACAAACAATATTCAGACCATACCCCGGTCCTACCTCAAACCCCAATCCAACACAAAGAGAAACCAACACATACTGACCGACAAAAGAAGAAAGCCTAACTGTGAACCAAACGCATACAACAAAACCAGTGAAGTGAAGCTTAACAACGAAACAATACAACAAAGAAACTCCAAACTGCAACACCGATCTTTAACAAGGCCATCACAGAACAAAAACTCCTAAAATGAAATGAATTTTCACAATGAAACCCGTATGCTTCACACCCGAATTCCTACCACTCTGCTTAGAATGGCTGAAACTTCAACTATTGGAACATCTAATAATCTAGAATTATTAGAGAAGGATAGGGACAAACCAATAAGGGCAGACTCTCAAAAAGACCTACTAAACCCATGTTATCATCCACCAACAGATAAAACGACCCCACAAACGACACTATGGGCACAACCAATAAACAATTACCGACAGCCATCTTATTTCCCACAACAAGAGCTGCATGCGGAAACCAACTTTTCAAGGCACCATCTACACTTTTCTTTTATAGAGTTTCATTGAAACTTTCTTCAATAAAGTTTACCTCGAAACCAGCATCTGCATCAAACCCTCCTGTAACCTAGGAAACTTCTCATCACCGACTACTGCTGAATTCACCGGTCCAACACCGACCGGAGCCCATCAATGAATACACCAGGCAATACACACACACAGGAGCGGGCAGAGGGCAGCATCTATGAGCAACACCAAAGAACAAAAAGCTAGCCAAAGCAAACACAAGGCAACAACAGCACCAACACGCAATCAAACGCATTAGAACACCAAAGCACAAAAACGACAGCATCCATCACAGCACATGCCACAGGACAACCACACCACCCACCAGTAAACGGAGAATAGAAGAAATCCACCAGAAAACAGCTAATCATCCTTAAATACTTTAGCCACAGCATAACAAACTAACAATAAAAACAATCTACTAAAAAACTGACACTAAAATGCTATACATAAAACTACTCCAGCTCCTCTAAAAACCACTGCAAAACCTCCATACCAACCCCGGACAAACTTGCACCAAACTCAAGCACTTCTGGAGACGCTAATCCAAGAGAACATCACTTGCATAACCAACGACATAAATGGATCCAATCCTAGAGCCTACTCGAATCCTCTTCTATGACATAAACACACTCACAACCTCACCAAAGCTACCCACTGTCAGCCATAACCTTTTCAATGAAGAGTGTTTGAAGGAAAATCCACGAATAAAGAAACAGATTCCGACTAAAGATCTGAAACACTCTCCCACATACTGTAAAATATCAAACGAGCCAAATACTGGTTCACTATGGCATTTACAGAAACGGCTTGAAAGCAAAAATAACTATCACGATCTGATTCCATAAGCTGACAGTAAATCCACGCAGATACTCCAAACTATGAAACTAATTCATACAAAACCCAAGACTCAAGCACGAACCAACAATCAATTAGAAATAGGAAAAATCACAAATGGTATATAAAGAAGCGATCTCACCAAGCTAGAAGAGGACACCCAAACAATCGAGTAGCAAATTTGGGGACGAAAGCCAAACAAAAACTAATCCCCAAAAACACCAGGGCTGGGTCGACCAATCCCAAGTTCAAAGACCAAAAAGAGAATCAGCGTCACTGTTAAGGGCTTTTGAGATCTAGAGAGAAGTGGTCAGAAGATAGCGTGAAGTAGCAAGGACGGTACCACCACCGCCCAGAACGAACGAAAGAAAAGCCTTTTTGATTAGTTGAAATAATTTCTCAAAGTATATATCAAAAACGAATTTGGCTTGCTTGTTGTTATCTATATTTTGTGTCTCATTTTTTATTGTTAATTATAATTTGTCTCCTCGAACTAGTATTTTGGCTCGGTCCGGCCATCCCTATATATATATTGTTTTTGTCATGATTTTTCATTTCACTCCAGGTGCTTAGAGAAGAGCTCAACACATTGCTTATCTGCTGGGCGACGACAGAAAGGGAATGTTGCCTTGAATGGGCGATGAAGATTCATCAGAACTCTTTGGAGAAAATTTGAGCTTGGCCTTGTGCAGTCCAGACACACGGGTGAACAATTTTCAGGACTTCAGGTGCATGATTTGACAAAACACGATGAATCAAGCGGTTGGAGCCCCGCTTTCTCTAAGCGATTCTCACACGGATGATTTTTTGTCGGCATGTGATAATTGAAATCCAGGTTTAAACAAGTTCACAACATTTAATACCCATTCAGCTCTTCTTTCCTAAAATGCAATCCAAAGTTCTTTTTTTTCTAAGCGATTTGATTTTTTGTTGGTTCATTTAATAATTTCAGTGGTAAGGTTGAGTGTAGGGTGTTATTGTTAGCTATTCTATTTGGCTCAAGTTCATCTAGGAATTCGAATATAGTTGTTTTCCCCTGCCTTTTGATTTTATTTCTTTTGGTTTCTTATGAACATAAGTAAAGTAAATGGTGTATTTTATTTTTGAAATTTTAAAACTTCCGTTGTATGCTAATTTTGGGTAAATATGTGGAAACTATTACTAGCGTGCTATGGACTGAACAATCATTGAACTAATATTTAACATCTCAAACTTAGCAGCGTGTTTCGTTCAGTCATCGGTCAACCGTTTATGAGATTTTAGAGGCCTAATACGAATTTAAAAATTGAATCTTTAACAACAAGTATAAATATTTTTAACAATAAATAAAAATAAATTAATTAATTTTAATCTGTAAATTATACTTTTTTATTGTGTTCAACAAACTATTTAACCCAAAACAATTAACACAAAACAATGTTTGTCCTTAAACATGCTGCAATTCAAAATTCAAGATCCTTTCAATCAAACCAAAATGAAGTAAAAAGTGATTTGTTCATGATATTCATTTTTACAAACCAACACAAGTAATCAATCACATCATTAATTTCATGATATCAAGATGAAATAATATTTAATACACTCATCAATAATTTACTCAATATGGCTGGAAGGTGTTTAAGGGGAACATCAACACTCAAGTCAATGTAATGGTTAACAGTAGAAACTAAAAAGGAAATAGCAGGAAATTAACAGAGGTTTAGAGAAGATCATATAGAAAACAAAGTAGAGAGCAGCAAATAAGCAAAACAAGAACAATAAAAGAAATAAAGAATGACAGAGAGAAGGAAACTAAACAATTCATTCATCATATATTTCTCATCCTTTTCCCCTAAAACATAATAAGTTTTATAACCAATAAAGCCTAAAATCCGAAAGCCCACTAAAATATTTATTTATTTATAAAAGCTTATTACAATATTCCCCCTTTCCAAAAAAATTCTTGACCCCAAGGATTACGAGACCCATTGTTTCCCTTCAAGAGTCTCGGCATAGTCAACAAACTCCTCTGGTTCATTCTCAACCTTGACACCTTCCACAAGCAGTTGATATAATTGAGACTTCATTCAACGATGACCAGGAGTACACTTAGCAGGACACCAGAAACATAATCCTTTTCTTTTCGTCTGTCCTCATTATCAAGTTGTAACAACGGGCTGTCCAAATCTTTAGCTCCATTTTGAATTGTCATCCTCGAAGAAGATCCATGTCCTCTTGGAGTAGCAGCCCCACTCCTTACGTCGACATTAATAGTTCCATTACCAGCCTTCGAAAACCTTACAGACTGATCAACAAGCAAAACATAATCATTTAAGTTGGGTACTGGTGGAGGACGAAATGGTGACACATGTGATGAATGTGAAATCGAGTATAATATTATTTCTAATTATCTAGCCTTGTGAAAGGATTCCAACAAATCACGAGGCCTAAACAACTTCAATTATTCACTAATATCTCATTTCAACTTGCTAAAAAAAAACCGGAGAGCATAGTCATCCAGAAATTGAATTTAGTTTAAAATACAAATAAAGGCATCATATAATATTGTTCGACAATACATTCTTGTGTAAGGGACATTAACTCCTCCATCGGATCCTGAAACCCCTCCGGTGCAAACCTATTTCTCATGAATTGTAAATATTATGGCCAAGTTACAATGCCCCCATGATTTCAAATCAGAAATTGATGCCATTGTAATGCCTTTCCCTCTAAATGTAATATCACCAATCAAATTTTGGCGTACTCTATTGTTGAATTAATGTTTTGATATAATAATAAATTGTAAAATTGATTTTGTATTTGATTGAATTTGTCAAAAAGTTATCAAAAATAATTCAAAGTCAAAATTAACTTGAAAAATATGTTTAAACATTTTCCAATTTAGTCAAACCTTTTCAAAAATTTACTCAATTATTTTAACCCTTTAAGGTCATGTTTCCAAAGATTTTTGGCTCAAATGATCGATCCCCTTGAAAAAGGATATATCCTTTAGATTCTAGTAAGTTTTGGATCGATCCCTTCACCAAAGGATTGATCCCTCATGGAAGAAAGATTGATCACTTCACCAAAAGGATATATCCCTCAATGAAAAGGGTCAATCCCTTTCTTTCAATAGTCAAATTATTTGAAAATGGATTAATCCTTTTCTGAAAGGATCGATCCTTTTGCATTAAATGCTATTTTTAGTTGTAAGTAATGACTATAATGACTCTCAATGGCTCTAAACAACTAGAATTGATGGATAACGTATAAATTGAAGGTCAAAGCATCCCAAGGTAAAAAAGAACCACATTAAACCAACTTACCAATATCAAAGTACTATTTTCTTCTTAATTTGTCAATTTTTTTGTTGTAAACACACTTGTGAGCTACATTGTTTATTTTTCTCAAGTGCGAATCGGGTGAGTGCTTAAATTTGTGCAAACATATTTGTCTTGTGAGATTTTCTCATTTATTTGCTTTATTTGTATTTACTCTTTGGGAGAGTGTGTATTCAATGTCTTGGGGTATAAACTTTGAAGTGATTGTAAGGTTACACCTTGTTCTTAAAGGTAAGAAAACCTAGTGGATTTGAGGAATCCTTAGTGTGGATGCTAAGGTAGTGAATGCATATTTTGGTTGATAAAGTTGAATCACTCTAAATCGTTGTGCAAAAGTTTTATTTTTCGATCGCTTCCACCACAATTTTTAAAAGGCCAATTCAGCTTCCTCTTGGAGTATTTTGATTGTTCATAAGAACTAACAATTGATATCAAAACGGGTCTCTATTAACTGTTTAACAACCTTGAGAAGGTCCTAGGAGGGCTCTATCAACTTATACAATTAACCAAGAAACGTGGCTTCAACCTCCAGATCCTATTACATTTAAGATTCACAACTGGTTAACAAGCCACCATATTTCAATGGAGGAAATTATGCCAATTGGAAGAAAAAGATTATTGTCTTCATTCAAGAAAATGATCTAGGGGCTTGGAATTTCATCATAAAAGGTTAATCTACTCCAACCAATGATATGAAAGATTAAAGTGAAGAAGAGAAGAAGTTCCAACTCAATGCTAAGGCCATGTACATGTTTTTGTGCACTAGGCCTGGATGAATTGGAAGAGTCTCCTATTGTTCAAATTCTAAAGCGATTTGGGGCAAACTCTAATTCACTTATTAAGGAACCGATGAAGTGAGAGAAATAAAAATCGATCTTCTCAATCATAACCATGAGAACTTCAAGATGAAACTAGATGAAGACATCAAAGTTATGATTGATAGATTTTTCGTAATTCTCAACAGCCTCAAGAGATATGGAGAGGTCATCCCTAATGAAAAGCTTATGATGAAGATGATTTACTCTCTTCCAAAGTCTCGGTAATCGAAAAAGATAGGTTCATTGAAGCAAAGAACTTAAAGTCTCTCACTCTTGATGAGCTTATTGGTTCCTTGCTCACTTGTGAGTTATGGTAAAAGAGGAGGAGAAAGAAGAATAAAAGAAAGAAGAGAAGAAAGAAAATAAAAACCAAGTTGATGTTGCTTTAAGATCCTTTACACATAAAGAATGCAATTCAGATGGAGAAGATGAAGAGAATGTCAAACTCTTCAAGAGATTTGAACGACTCATGTCATCAAAAGATAAAGATACTAAGCATGAGTGAAATAAGGAAAAATATAACATCATATGCTACAATTACCAAAAATCAAGACATGTGAAGTATAGTTGTTCCTAATTGAAGAACAAGGGATCAAGTAAGACGAAGAAGAAGGCTTTTGTTATTACTTAGAGTGATGAGGACATCACCAACAATAAAGATGATGAAGTAGCCAACCTTTTCCTTCTGGCTATCCAAGAAGATTCAAAGGTATATTCTTACTCAAATGAATTACATTCATATTCTTTTGATGAAGATGCTTATGATGAATTGGTTTTGGAATTTGATACCATTAATTCGAAATAAAAGAAAATAATTCTCTTTTAAAAGCAAATTGGATTTTGAAAATAAAAAAAATTAAAATTTGAAAAAAGGATTTAGATTTTTCAAAAATTAAAATTGAACAATTTGAGAAAGAAAATCTTGATTTGAGAAAACACGCTTGGAATTTAAAAAATAAAAAGAAAAAAATTATTTCTAAGGATTCATCAAAGTAAATAATGGCAAAATGTTCACATTTCCATTATCATTGACATACATCACATACTTGTCCTATAAAGAAAATAAAATTTTATAAAGGTAGACAAGTATGAGTTTCTAAGGTAACTAGGGGCATTGAAACTAGCACTCAAGGACCCAAAGAAATTTGGGTATCATAAATCAAGTAAATGTCTCCTATAGGTGTGTTGGAGGAATGGTGAGTAATGTTAAGCAATGTGAAAGCTATAGACACCAAAAGGAATTACACTTGCAGAAGTTTAGACATAACAAGTCAACATTGATTCAAGTGGTGAAAAATTTTAATTTCATGTAAATTATGTGATTTTATATGTAACACCCCAATTTAGGGGCTAAATTTAAGAAAATATAAATTGGTGGATTTAATTTGGTATTTTGAAAGAAATAAGGGATTAAATTGTAAGATTTCAAAGTTGACAGACCGTGTTAAGAAGTGCAGGAAGTTCAGTGGCTAAACTCTTGGTTTAGCCATTTTTAATTATGAGATGTTATAAACCCCCCAGACTCCCGTATGTTTCTGGAAAATTTTCCAGTTT